CATCAACCCCTACCCACCCCTTATTTATCTCACCTCCACACCCTCATTGAACAAATTCTCGAATTAATCGAATCGGGTGAATACACAAAAGCACTCTCTTCCCCTGGCGCCAAATCCATTTTCTCCTCACAATCTTTAATTCATAATCAGCTCAATGATTCTTCCCAAAAAGCTGAGTTGTTTTTCTCAGAATTTGTGCCCCAATGTGTGACTTTGTTTCTAAATGCAGAAGATGGGGGTGAAAAAAATTCTGTTTTTAATAGCTTTCTGAACAAGTTGTATAAAGCAGTTCTTGTCATGGCAGTTTCTGTTGCAGCTCTGCTTGCTTTTAGTCAGTCTAACATTACTGGGTTAGTCTCTATCTTCCAATTTATGTGATAATGTTACCTTTCTAAATTTTGAAACAATTCAACTTTAAACTATCCATTTTACCCTTAATGAGATTGATTTATAGCTACACAAATATCATAAGCTTGTTCTCGACCACAGGGGCGGCTCAACGGTATCCGGGGCCCTAAAGCCAAAATTCAACGAGGGGCCCTAAATTTTTTCATATTTAAAAACTCATTTAATAAAATTTTTATTTTGAAGTTAATTTTTCTTGCTTTTTGAGATGTAAAATTTTTAATAATTTATTTATAATCGATTTCTTAACTAAGATTATATATATTTCTACTTTCTAAGATTATTATTCAATTCTTTTAGGATTTCCTGGTTTTCTATAAAATCTTTGTTAAACTCTCACCAACTTCTTCTTCTTCTTGGATTTCATTCTCTTCTACCTCAATTATATTAGTGATTTGTTTATCTACCATAAATTCTTCCTATTTTTGGGGATTGTATTAAAGTTTCAATTCTTCTCTCTTTTTTTGGCATTTTTAATATGCGGATTCATATTTTCTTGTTGACATATTAAAATTCTAATAAATTAAAAAAGATAATACATATACTTACAAACAAAAGATATCAAAAAATAAAAAAATTTAGATGCAAAGTAATAAGAAAAGTATAGAACAATTGAACCTGGTTTAACAAATAGTCATAAATAACTTGATATTACTTTTGCTGTTTCAATTTCTTTGGTGCAATTCCTTGAAAGCTTGACAAAAAAAGAGTTTGCAATTGCTTTCTACTATCATATTTGACAGAATATTTTATGAGACAGTGGACTTATAAGTTTGTAAAGGCTAAAAGGAATATAAAAGATTAAGTAAAAACCAGTTTAAAGAGAGAGAGTAATAAAAGTAACGTGGGCCCTGTGATAATAATGATAATATATAAAGGAGGCAAGACATATTATATTCACACGTAAGTTACTATTCTTATTCCCAAATTATCTCTATTGGTCTCATAGTTTCCTTGTTTATGAAAGATATACTTTTTTTTATATACTAAATATTTTTTAAAATATTCATCAAATACAAATACAGCTATTTAATACAGTATCAGAAAATTTTGGGCCCCCTAGATGTGGGGCCTCAAGCAGTTGCTTGAATGGCTTTACCATTGAGCCGCCCCTCGACCATAAATTATCGAAATTTTCATTATATAAATGCGTGCGGTCCAAGTTTTGAGATAATGAGTGTACCCGTATAATCGTATATTCACAGATGCCTTGTATCAACCCAAAAGAGAAAGTGATGAATATCTTCACACACTTAAAAAAATTTCATTTATGTACACACACTTTATATACTTATGTGCCCAGTTTGAAGCAGTGGGTGCACGTGCATTTCTTTTTATGCAACCCCCTCCCCCAACCACACACACGAAAAAAGAAATGAACCAGAAGACATCGGAATGTTTTTGAGTAATATAGTTAGTACATCTCTTCCATTTTATATTACCTAGTAATGTTTCCAATGGTTGACTTGATTAGTTTTTGATCTAGCTTTAGACGTGTATTTTAAATGAGTGTTGAGATTAAAAATTATATTCCTTAAAAGAAATGTAGAAAACTCTAAAACAGTGAGAGATTTGTGTAGAAGATTACGATTACATAAGAATATTGTCAACGTTGAACGGTATGAAGGATGATCAAATATCTGTTGAAAATAAATAAAAAGATTCTTTAAACGACAATGAGAGATTTACTTAATCCAAAAAGAAAAAAAAGCAGTGAGATATTTATGTAAAAGATTACAATTAGACAAGAATGTTCTTAACCTTATAATGGTATGAAGGATGATTAAAATGTGATGGGTGAGTACTATTATCAACTTTTTGATGTCTGGATTGACACCTTGGTGGTGTATATGCCAAGCTTTATGAACTTTCTTTTTGCGTGTTGTTCAGTTCCTTACCTTATTGTTATTATAGGCCAATGATGAAGTTGCCACCAATGCCGTTAGGTGCAATAACTTTTGGAGAAGAAGAGTTGACCAGTGGTTCTGGTGGTTGGTTAGAATGGGAAGCGTGGGCACAAAAGGAGTTAATGTCAGCTGGTTCTGACTTGCGCGCCAAATTTTTGAATCTGCAGGTAAAATTCCTTTCATCGCATATCAACTTGCCAAAATTCTTGTGAGCATGAATAAGTGGTGATACTTCTGGTATTTTTGGAAATTAAATGTTGATTTATCATATCTCTATAATCTATCAAATCTAGGGTTGTTTACTGACTATTTATCGTTTCTCAATAGTAAGCTGAAAGTTGTAAATGGGATGAAAAGTTTTAATATCTGCTTGTGCTTCAGATTACTTTACGTATTTGAAACAATAGATAAAAAGTAAAAAGTAAGTCGATATTCCATCTTGACAGAACCATTGAGATAACAAGGAAGAAAAGGAGATAATTGATTATAATGATTTTAACTTGATTCATAAGAAAGAGAAGACACATACACCTAATACAGGTGCGAAATACAGAATAGAGTGTAAATGGAATTATGGAAGTAGTAATTGGTGGCACCTTGCGCTACTTTGTTTATTAAATCGGTACCTTTTCGTACCAAACTCTACTATCAAGAATTTCATTGCATAGAGGTAATAGTAGGGTTATTTAAATTCATTTCTATGGGATCAACTTAATCTTGACAATGTAAAATGATATGGAGAAGTATATTTTCTGTCAAGTATCCATCCATGTTATGGGGGAAAACTTAAAATCCTTATTTACCTATAAAAAAAAGTATCAATCCATGTTATGCCTAGCTTTTTGAATTAACATATCTGTATGTATGTTTTGTTATGCTTACACAGACGTCCGGTTTCCTTATTAGCCAATTTTTCTTATTGCATACACCACTGAGTTGATGCCAAAGTTTTCCTTTTCATTTTCCTCCCCCTTTGGTCCTCCTTATGTAGTATATAACCTTTGCCAAGATACTGCTTATGAGGACGAAAGATATTTTGTCAGAAAGAAACGACTTGGGGATGGATGGAGCCAGAAGCATCTCATGGTGGTTAGCTAGGCTGTTAATCATTCAACAGAAGTTGTTGGACGATCGCTCATCTTCTTTGTTTGACTTATTGCAAGTATTAACGCGTGAAAGTTTGCAACATATTGGTTCTCTGGAGAAAGTAAAAGATTATTGGGCTTCTCTGATATCAGAAGAGGATGTTTCGACTATTGTATCTATGCTTCATTTGGAGGCAGGAATAATGGAACTTTACTATGGACGAGTTGATGCTTCAAGGTTAGCTATTTGATGAAGAAACTTTTATGGTACTTTCAGTCACAAATCTATAACTGGGCATACACTGATGATTTCATTTTTCTTATTCAAGTCGCCTTCGATACTCTTCTCAGTCTATAAACAGAGCTAAAAAGATGGAAAAAAACTCAACTCATCGTAGTTGCATGATATGTATTCGGTTGTTTGATGGATGACGGCATGTGAGGCTTTATTTAGTTTTGCTGTAATATGGATCTTCTAGTGGTGCTGTTGTTTATCAATTATCTTTGTTTTCAGCTATATCGGTCTTTTTTCGTTAGGTTTATTGGTTTTCTTCCTTTTCATTGAGTTGTCCTTTTTTTTTTTTTAAAAGAAGATTTTATTGATATTCAGTGCTAAGATATTACTGTTTGGAAATTACAAGAAAATTGGACTTGTTTTACATTACAGCCTCATCACATTCAACAAGTCCAACATATCCTTTACAAGTCTAAAGTCTTTTAGTTCCGTACACTTGACAGCTGATCTGTATCCAATGAATCGCACTTGGGATGGAAACAACAAAAGGCCAAAGAGTAACATTATCTAATTGTTCTCCTTAGCTGCTCATCTCAGTGACATGTCAGTTGGTCATTTATCTTCCGTTGTAGCAGCATAGTTTCCTGTTTCAATCTTGAATTAGTTCACTATATCATATTATTGGCACATCTAGCTGCATTTCTTACCCATATTTTCCCTTTATCCCTGTCACTCTTATTTTGGCCCATGGCATATTTGATTTGTTTGTGCAGTAATCAATGATCTCATCTCATGTAAGCCTCTTGCATAATGAATCTTCTCAAAAGTGTAACGTTTCTGCTTATCTGGAAGCATGATATTAGTTCCTTCCTGATATGATTTGTGTATTAGGGTCCATATTGAATCAGCTGCAGCAACATCCAGACTTAATTTTTCGCTAAGTGGGGCTCTGGGCTTCCGTACGGTACATCAGGTACGTTTTGTCACGTGCCATTTGGAATTATTTGGTGATCACTGATCACAATGATCAGAAGAGTTTTTTTCTTTATAGCCATATACTTAACGGTTGCGCTGGTAAAACAGGTGGAACCAAAAGCACAACTCCTCCTTGTGGGTAGCGCGGATGCCGATGATGGTAGTGCTTCTCTTGGGAATGAGTTCCAAAATAAGGTTTCTACCAGTGTTGAAAATGCTGTTCCTCAACATCCCAGTGAAACTCATGAAACATCAGACATATTGATGGCCCCCAGATTCTTGGGAGATGATAAAAGTTCAGAATACAGTGCACAAGGTGCTCAAAATCACAGTATAGCGTCTATGCAGTTAAAGCCTACTCAGCAAGCAGTAATTTTAGCACAATGTCTTTCTATTGAGAAGAGAGCTCGGGGTGATGAATTGCAAAGTAAGCTTCCTGACTGTATTATGACGAATCCCTATTTCAATGTTCTTTTGTTTTCCTGTTGCTTTGTTTGATAATACAAAATGTTGCATTGCAATCTGATTAGCTTAAGGAAGGACTATTGAAGGGCATTTTTTCAGATAATGCGAAACATGTTCCTTTGGGAAATTTGTTACCCCCTTCTGCTTTGGGACGCTTCAAAATGGTTAAAACCATTCCTTTTCTGTACAACTTACGCTACGTTCTATAATATATCTCACTAAAATTTCTGATGTTAATTGATATTTGAAGCTGTAGTAAATTCAACACTTGCTGACCAATAGCATTAGTATGGACTATAAAGGATATAATGCAACTGAGATAAGAGACTGGTTTAGGAGTCTAAATCTTACTTTATAAAAAATATTGGTTTCTAAATCTTACATGAATTTCTACTTTTTCTTCTTCTGAGGATGAACATTAACAAACTCAACACAAGTTGTAATTGTTTGACAAAAGGAAAAAAAAAGTAAGAAAGGAAAAGAAAAAGAATTGAAGGCATAAGAACACGGGCACGTGTAAATTACTGGGAAACAGCACCATTTCTTTTTTTAATTCTATTACCTAGGAATTCTGGTGGCCACGACGAGTGGAACTACTTGGAGGGGAAAGGAAATGAATGATCTTTACTTGATTGCTCTCAAGAAGAAAATCATTGCTCTCCTCTCTCTGTCTGAAGTAAGCACATAGCAAGAACCTTGGAAGATCACTAAGAGCATTGGCAAGTTAATGAGCTGCTGAGAAAAGAATGGTTAAAGACAAATGCATCTCTGTGGATTTCCAATTCCCAAGTATTCCTACCTGAAGTGGTCGAAAGTATATATGAAACATGAGCATGATGTAGATGTAGATGTGGGAAGATCTATATTTACTTTATAAAGCTTGGTTACTCATGCATGTGCTTGTTTCAGGGTGGGAGATGGCTCCTTATATTGAGGCAATTGATTCCCAGAAGTCATCACTTTTTACGGTGAGGTTTACCCTGTTTAATTCCAGCATTTTGTTCTTTATTTGGCATTCAAATTGCTTTAATTGAAACATCACATTCAAAATTACACTCCACATTTTGAATCTAGTTGGTTTTACCTTTTTAGCATACATTGTATCCTTCTAATATTTAAAGTTGGCAAATCAAAGATGGTGTTACCAAGGGCACCAGGGGGTTCCTGACTTGCTTCTATGCAAAACCTATACAAGAAAAAGAAACTTTTTTTTTTGTTGAGAAAGGTAACATACCAGAACGAGAAACTATAATACTTGTTTACAAATCTTAACCCATCCAAGCCATGAAGTAGAGTGGCTTGATAGTTATGGAACACTTATTTTGTATTTGCTCTTTTTTTAATAAGTAGAAATGGTGAACTTCTTACTGGCATTGATAGAGGGCTTGCAAAAAGTAATAATTGAAGTGACTGAGACCTGAATTGTATTTTCTTGGCGGCAATGCTTTAATAGCTTCCTTTGGTTGTCTTCAAAAAGTTATTGTTCTCAGTAGCAAAATGAAATAGGAAATTTGAGGATGGAAGATCAATTTAGTTTACCTCCCTCCCTCCTCTATTTTTCGCTTCCTGACCCCTGCTGCCCCAACCAATTCTTTTTTTCTCAGTTTAACTTCAAAAGGATATATACAGCTGCTTTAGTTAGTGTTGCAGTTCCTGTAAAAGTATGTATAAGTGGAAATCAGATTATAGTCATCTTTGTGTATTTTATCATCATCTTGCTGGTGCTTCTCAATTTGCTTCTATGTGGTCATTCTCTTTCCAGGCTTTGTATTGTACTTGATTTATGTACCGAGATTTATGCCATTATGATGGAATGTCAACTGACTCAAATATTTCTCTTTTCATCCAGCTACACCATTTGTGCAATATATTACGTATTCGATGGGAATCAACTCGTAGTCGTACGAAGCAGCGTGCATTACTGATGATGGATAAACTGGTAAGTCCTAGAGACTTTAAAGGGATTATACTTCCTGTTTTAGATCTATTCTATCGAGGAGAAAATAAAATGGAGCACCACAAATGGATCAGTATATGTAAGTTGATGAAAGCAAATTCATTCTGAACCCACCGGGTTGGCCCAATGGTTAATTCAAGTTGATGAAAGCAGATTGATTTCGAATTTCATTCGATGCTTAGTAGTTATTCCATTTGGGTCTTGCTTTTTGCAGCAAGAATATTTTTCATTGTGTTATAATATTCTTATTTGATTCTCAGGTTCAGGGAATATGTGATCCTTCCCCTGGAGCTACACAAAGGATGCATTGTTGTTTTGGAGTTAATATCCCTACCATTCCTGCATTGCGCAAGTAAAGTTGCTCTTCTGCCTATCCAAATTTACTTGTTTTTGCTCAAATGACTCTTCATTTACATGCAATGTTACTTATTGCTGAGTATGTGGCAGAATTTTTGAAGGTCATTAATTTTAATCCCTAATAGGAAAACCGACTTGTGAACTTGGTGCAAAAGCAACTAGTAAATTGTCACACTAGCTGTGGTAGTTGCTGTTTGGTGCACCCTTGAGATTCCTGCTTTTATAGATGATTGGGTGTCTTTCGTAGAAAAATGAGAATCATGTTTTGTTGTAGATTCTCTACTTTTTGGTATACCTTTTGTATATCCCATTGTTAATAATATCATTTACCTTATCAAACAAACAAAAAAAGAAATATAGAATATACATTCTATATACTTTTTCTTCTGATATTCTTCATTTTAGTTTTGCTTGGTATTATATTTGCATAAAGAATGTCATCTCATAATTAGATACATTGGGGTAACAAGTGTAATCAATTATTGTTCAGGGAGTATGGAGATCTACTAGTGAGCTGTGGTTTGATAGGAGAAGCTGTTAAAGTGTATGAGGAGCTTGAGCTTTGGGATAACTTAATATACTGTTATAGGTACTATCGAAATTCTCAAAACATGGCTGTTATCTGTGGTTCTGTGCAGTCTCATCTGAAAATAATGTTTAAATCTTGTAGGCTAATGGAGAAGAAAGCGGCAGCTGTTGAACTGATCAAGGCTCAGTTATCCGAAAGACCATGTGACCCTAGGTTATGGTATATTGAAAAAGAATCTACCTTCCCTTTGTCATTTTAACTGCTTTTCCTGTTTCTAGTGTTCATTTTCCTCTAGCTTGGGAAATGGAATTGTTCGTCATCAGAAATTAGGTGCATTTCTTGTGCTATTACAAGGTATGAAGTGCTTGATTTGGAGAGCAGGAGGTTTAAAATGTTAGTGATACGCAATAACCATCCACTTTTATCATGAACAAATTGCTTGTATGATTCAAGGGCTTCTTTGTTCAATTGTCCAATAAGCTGCCACAGTTCTTTTGGCATCCATTAGAAGCGCTTTGTTCCCTCAAAGAGGTTTTACGTGGTAATATGTCTGTGATAAACATGTTCATCTTGAACTCACGAAGTATCCTTCAATTAGAAAAAGTAGCCAATGAATTCAAAAAGTTTTTCGAAAACCCATGACTATGAGATCAAGGTGTTGATCCTTTACCTTTTTAAATGTAGTTTTGCCGTTCCATAGTATTTTGTGACATACTGCATGAGGTAATGTGATACCCCTCTAAATCTCCCAAAGTTACTGCATATCCAGAGATGCAAAGCACAAATTTTGTACTGTGATAAGGCTGTAGTGTTTTGAGAACTTTTTTGTGCTTGAAACTTGAGTTAGGACTTATTGTGCGAGTCTGACAAATCAACTATCCTTTTGTAGTAAGAGAAGTCTTTTACCATTTGAGTAACTGCCCATGTTTGTTTATGTTACAAATTTGTCCCATATGTTGAAAGGTTTGTTTGGTGAATTTAGACTTTTAGCACATTTGTTTGCATGCTACTGATGGGAGAAAGTGATAACAAATTATTTCGTGTTAAGTTAAGTTGTACTTATTGGGGATAGCAAGAGGTGAGATTGTTATCCCCTCATTTGGTTACAGAAGTTGGTCCCGAATTCTAATCACAACATTACTAATAAATAAGATCATATTACTCATTACTTCCCTTACTAAAAATTGCATTTCTATCAATATTTACCTTACTACATTCCAACAGCATTATAATCTTCCATCCACAGTCTCTTCATGCTATTATAATCTTTCCTTATCTCGGCCACCAAACAAAGGACTTTTTATGATTATGAGATGCATCATTTTGAAATTACAAGAAAAAGGTCTTTGCTGAAGAAGCTTTTGCATTATTTGTTTGCTGGTCATCTTCCTTTCCGTGCATTACATTGAATTCATTTGTATTTGTTAGCTGCACTGTTTTCTGTTTTTATACTTAACCCTGATCTCTATTCGCATTTAAAAAAATTATAATATACTTTAACCATACTTATTTTTTGTTTGGGTATTAATTATGCTGTATAATACCGATTGCTTCTCCTTTAGGTGTTCCCTTGGAGATGTTACAAATGATGACAAATGCTATGAGAAAGCCCAGGAAGTGTCAGGGAATAAGTCTGCTCGAGCACAGGTGAAACCAAGTTTCTTGTTACCTACCTTAGTGATTGCAAATGTTTTTCTATTTTCCCTTTATAATTTATCTTCTAAATTTTTCTTTGGGCTCCAAAATCTTCTTGGAACAGCGCTCTCTTGCCCGTAGTGCTTACAACAGGGGGGAGTACGAGAAGTCAAAAGATCTATGGTTGGCTTACTGTGTGCTTTCATTCACTTAATAATTATTAAATATTAATTAATTTGCTTCTACTTGTCCACTGATTTGATCTTTATTTCCTTTGTTTTCAGGGAATCTGCAATGGCAATGAATTCTATGTATCCAGATGGATGGTTTGCACTTGGTGCTGCTGCTTTAAAGGTCTGTTTTTCGTTTGTATGTTGGTCTTGATCACTCATGGCTCTAAGCTGTATGTAAGGAACTGCACATGATGCTATGTAGCGTTAGTTTCTCCTTCCTTTTGGCATGTATCCACTAAATGATCTGACTTCGTCTGGAACAATACAGGCTAGAGATGTTGAGAAGGCACTGGATGGGTTTACACGTGCTGTTCAGCTTGATCCTGAAAATGGAGAGGCTTGGAATAATATTGCTTGCCTGTGAGTTCTTCATCCTTGCATTTAGGAAATTTACAAGTCTGATGATCCGTGTCAGTTGCATTGGTTTGCTGTATTTTTAGGCAATCAAATAATGAAACCATTTATTTGTGGGACCAAAAATCATTTAGCACTAGAATTTCACCAAATTTCACCCAACCTTTGGAGTGTTTCTTATCGTGCTCCAACTTTTGTGCTAGCTATGCAACTTCATCATTTGCTGCCCGAAAGAGTGAACTATTAAGCAACTGGAATCATGGCTGAAATATTAAACCAACTCATCTATGAAGGTCATCTGATTTAAGTATCTCTTGAAGAGCGAGATCATAATAGTTTATACACATTTTCTTTTTGAGATAGAACTTGTCTCCTTTTTTGATTTCCTTTCTAACTTAAAAACTTATAAACTACTTTAATAGCAATAATATTAGTTAAATACGTAATGGGCGGAGGAAAGCAAGATGTTTGTTTTAGTTCTAGTCTACTGAAGGATGTTAAATGGAGGAAGAAATCCAGTGTAAAGGGTATTCGACAAGCTATGAGAAGAAAAAGAAACCTTTACCTTGATAGAGTTGGACTACAAGGCCAAGGGGGTACGCTGTATACTGATACCTCTTTGCAGATTAAAGTGGATTCTGCTTGCCTTACTTCTTTGTCCTTGGAAATCGTCATAATATCTTTTACTTCTATTCCTATTTTTTTTTTCTTCTTCACGTGTTCGGTTTTTATCTATGCAGGCATATGGTTAAGAAGAAAAACAAGGAAGCTTTCATTGCATTTAAGGAAGCCTTG